GGAGGGAGGGAGGGAGGGAAAAGAAAAGAGAAGGAAGGAAGGAAGGAAGGAAGGAAGGAAGGAAGGAAGGAAGGAAGGAAGGAAGGAAGGAAGGAAGGAAGGAGAGAAAGTCAGTATCTCAAGCACAGAGCCATTTATATTAAGATGTTTTGGGCACCAGGGACCGGTTCCGTGGAGAGGGGTTTTTCCACCGACTGGACAGTGCGTGGTTTTGTGTGCTGCCTTGCAATCTGTGGATGGGATTTTCCTTGTTTGTGTGGACCGGTTGCTGCCATGCCACGGCCCAGTACTGGTCCACAGATGGGGGGGTTGGGGACCCCTGCAATATGGGACTGCCTGCATGGTGAATTCCAGCTATTGAACTGAAAATGAAGAAAAAACTATCTGACTTTCAGCTCAAAACTGTTTTCACCCTGTTCCTTCTTATGAACGAGACCGTGGTCACTGTAAGAGGCCTGCGGTAGTTAACGAGGATTCATTTGCCCCCACATTCATGGTTTTATCCTCGGTGTATTAAAAAAATCCCACCCTCAGCTCCATTGCTGTATGATCCTAATGGCTTATTTTTCCTTTGTCCACCTAGAAAGGAAGTGGGGCCATTTTAAACACGGTGAAGACTAAGGCGAATCCTGCCATGAAGACGGTCTACAAATTTGTAAGTCTCCGGAGCGAAATCAAATCAAGCTTTATTACAGTCCGAGACCAGAAGAAATAAAAAACACTCCGTGAATTTCCAGTTAAAAATTCTAAAATAAAATAATAAATAACAAGTTTAAAAAAATATCTATATTAAAATCACAATTTGGCATCCAGTCTGTCAGTTACACAGGGCCGAAGTATACTATAATATCAGTCCTTACACTGTGAAGTCCGTAGCCATTGAATGCTAAAATGCAAAAAAAAAAAAAGTAATACAAAAGGGTTTGCTGCATTAGTTGCATAAAATAGCTATAAAGAAGAAATAGGGGAGACGTGATAGCAGTGTTTCAGTATCTGAGGGGCTGCCACAAGGCAGAGGGGGGCCAAGTTGTTTACCAAAGCACCAGAGGGAAGGACGAGAAACAATGGTTGGAAACTGATCAAGGAGAGAAGCAACCTGGAATTAAGGAGAAACTTCCTGACAGTGAGGACAATCAACCAGTGGAACAGCTTGCCACCAGAAATCGTGGGCGCTCCATCCCTGGAGGTTTTTAAGAAGAGGCTAGACAGTCACTTGTCTGAGACGGTATAGGTTCTCCTGCTTGAGCAGGGGGCTGGACTAGAAGACCTCCAAGGTCCCATCCAGCTTCTATTCTATTCTATTCTATTCTATTCTATTCTATTCCATTCCATTCCATTCCATATTCTATTCTATTCCTTAATTCTATTCTATTCTATTCTATTCTATTCTATTCTATTCTATTCTATTCTATTCTATTCTATTCTATTCTATTCTATTTTCTTATATTTTCTTATATTCTCTATTCTATTCTATTCTATTCTATTCTCTATCTTTTATTCTATTCTAATTTCTATTCTGTTCTGTTCTATTCTTATTTCTATTCTATTCTATTCTAATTTCTATTCTATTCTAATTTCTATTCTGTTCTGTTCTGTTCTTATTTCTATTCTATTCTATTCTAATTTCTATTCTATTCTAATTTCTATTCTATTCTACTCTACTCTAATTCTAATTCTAATTCTAATTCTAGAGCAGGAATCATGGTTAGTTCCTTGTCTGTCAGCCCTGAGTGTCTTCTGCTCTCCTTCCTCACTTGAAAGCTTTGATGAAAAAGGCTCCTGGATGCCACCCAATCTCTGCATGGCTGGTTCTTTAGGTGGGACTCAGGATGACCTTAGAGGTCCCAAACTTGGTATCTCCTGCTCGGACTGAGCTGCAGAGTGTCTCTTTTAACAGCAGGCTAGGCAGACCTAGAAGTTGGAAACTTACTCAAGTCCCTCGCAGAGACCTCGCAGCAGAGATAAAAAATAATTAGGGGATAAAATAAGAATCCTCGCTTTAAAACCAGGATATTCTCCACCAACAAAATCTCTCCCTCTCATTAAAGATTGTTTTTTTAACCTCTTGGTCTCCTTATTTGTTTTTATGCCCATTATGTCTTCCCCGGTGATGGTCCATTCTGCACCTCCCACTCCTATTCTCGGTAATCAGAGAAGGTGGACCTGGGTGGGCTGCAAAACCCCTTGTCTGGGGGGGGGGAGGCAAATAAGGGTTTCTCTCTTAAACTAACAGCCCTCTTTCCTCCCCCCTCCTCCTTTTTTTTTATCATGCAGGCAAAAGATCATGCAAAAATGGGAATAAAGGAGGTGAAAAATCGCTTGAAGCAAAAGGTACTTGAAGGATGCATTTAGAAAAAAAAAAAAAAAAGAAAGACAGACAGAAAGAAAGAAAGACGGAAGAAATGCTTGGCCAGGGAGGAAAAAAAAANAAAGAAAGAAAGAAAAAAGGCATTACGTGATCAATAGAGAGCTGTTTGGTGCTGTGTTGTTAACACACTTCAAAATGCATTACCAGCTGTCCCGGATTTTTTCCCCACTGTTATAAATATTCACAGACAAAAAGCAAATACATTAAGGTCTGACGTGGAATGGCTGTTCCTTCGCTCCCCCAAATGGGACACGGCCAAAAGAATGGAGGCGGCCCACTTCGGGCCTCTGAGGGTGCCGTCGAAATCCTCCTTCCTCCCCTGTGAGAAAGTGCAAACTGTGTGGTTGCGTTGTGCTGGCGGGCCTCGAGCCAAAAGAAGCACGCAGCTCCGCATAAAACATGTGCCCGTTCTTTGCACTTTCTGGCGCACGCTGATCTGACAGCCCAAGTTAACGGGGGTGGGGGTGTCACTTTATACTTCAGAAATCTTTGCTCCCACCTGAAAGTAGGGGATCCACCCCGACAAGATAATGTCTTCATCAGGTTGGTTTTGATAGGGTGAAAGAGGAGAGAAGCAGAAGACGAGGATCAAAGGAAAGCAAGGAATTGAAGAACATTTGCTGAAGGTTCTTGTCCAGTTGGGTTGAGGAACCATTTTGAACATTTGTTGAAGCAGTTATGGAAATCCGTAGCTGGCTGACCGGCCGTACTCAACGTGTGGTCCTCAATGGAACCACATCTACATGGAGGGAAGTGTGTAGTGGGGTACCCCAAGGCTCTGTTCTGGGCCCAATGCTCTTCAACATCTTCATCAACGATCTGGACGAGGGGATAGATGGGAACTCATCATATTTGCACACGAACCCAAGCTGGCAGGAATAGCCAACACTCTAGAAGACAGGCTTAAGATACAGAAGGATCTGGACAGACTTGAACACTGGGCGCTATCTAACAAAATGAAATTCAATGGTGAAAAAAGCAAGGTTCTACATTTAGGCAAGAAAAACCAAATGGACAGGTATAGTATAGGGGGTACCTTGCTCAATAGTAGTAACTGTGAGAGGGATCTCGGAGTCCTAGTGGACAATCACTTAAATAGGAGCCAGCCGTGTGCTGCAGCTGCCAAAAAAGCCAACACAGTGCTAGGCTGCATTAACAGAGGAATAGAATCAAGCTCACGTGAAGTATTAATACCACTTTACAATGCCTTGGTAAGGCCACACTTGGAATACTGCATCCACTTTTGATCACCACGATGTAAAAAAGATGTTGAGACTCTAGAAAGAGTACAGAGAAGAGCAACAAAGATGATCAGAGGACTGGAGGCTAAAACATAAGGACCGGTTGCTGGAATTGGGTATATCTAGTTTAACGAAGAGAAGGATGAAGGGGGACATGATAGCAGTGTTCCAATATCTCGGGTTGCCCCAAAGAGGAGGGGGTCAAGCTATTCTCCAAAGTGCCTGAGGGCAGGACAAGAAGCAACGGATGGAAACTAACCAAGGAGAGAAGCAACCTAGAACTAAGGAGAAACTTCCTGACAGTGAGAACTATTAACCAGTGGAACAACCTGCCTCCAGAAGCTGTGAATGCTCCAACACTGGAAGTTTTTAAGAAGAGACTGGACAGCCATTTGTCCGAAATGGCATAGGGTTTCCTGCCTGAGCAGGGGGTTGGACTTGATGACCTCCAAGGTCCCTTCCAACTTTATTATTATTATTATTATTATTATTATTATTATTATTATTATTATTATTATTATTATTATTATTATTATTATTATTATTATTATTATTATATGCTCTTCTAGATTAGGCCATGGAAAGGCATTGAGTGGGCCACAACGTTTGAAGGAAGCTTCAAACATCAAGCATCTAATGAACCTTCAGCAGCTCTTCTTCAACCCTTTGTTTTCCTTCCATTCCTGTCTTCTGCTGTATCTCTATGGAGATTCTCCATCATCCAGGTCCATGGTTGCCCCAAAGGTGCTTTTTTCAAGAGGCAACTGGACTGTCTGTCTTTTCTTTGAAGTCGTTTCGCTTCTCCTCCAAGAAGCTTCTTCTTCTGCTATTTCATCCTGTCAAAGCCAACGTGGTGAAGACATGTTCTTGGACCTGGAGATCTTCTCCAGATGTTCTCAAGGAACAACCCTTCTGTTTTCTAGGACCCCCTTCAAGCCCAAGCTAGTGACACCTCCATTGTCAACCCGTTCCCACTGCTCTTCTGCAGATACATCTCCTGATTTTAACCCTGAATCACAGGTTTCCATTTTATAAGTGGAATTCAACCGGAGGGAAAGAGAGGGAGAATAATCAGACAGCTTCTTCCCCTCCTCGCTCCGAGACTGACTGGTGTTCCTCCATCTTCTGGCTGACTAATTTGAGGCTCTAACCTCACTGCCATTCTCTACTGCTTAGCATTAACACGGAAATGAGGAGAACAGCTAATCTTATATTTCACCTTTGAGGTTCCAGTTGCCAAGAATCGGACTGACGGCGGCAGGAGAAATTTTAAAATGCACCCAAGATAGGAAAGGCTGTTTTCTTTAACTGCGCAGTAGCAGTGATGACCCCTTGGATATAATCAATAGTCTCTCCTTGCCCTCGGTTTGCTCCCACCGTTGACTTTGAATTGCAAATAAGAAATACTGGGTGGAATTCTGCAAAGGTCAGCTCGGGGTCTCGGAGGTCCTCCTCTAATACGGTCGTGGAGATTAAATGGCGCTCCCTTCCTATCCTGTCTTCAGTTTGTGGGATAGGATATTCAAAGGATCTGCAGTCATTCCTCTGGCTTTCTTCCAGCTGTCCGAAGTGGACGGCTAGCGGAGTGTGGTGCCTGCTGCTTGATTGTCCCAAAGGTGCTTTTTTTTTAACGAGGCCACTGGACTTTCTTGTTTTTCTTTGAAGAGGTTTCGCTTCTCATCCAAGAGGCTTCTTCAAGTCTGACTGGATGGTGGAGGATGGAAGGATTTATACTCCTTGCAGACCGCTGGCCATTTGCATTCTTTTAGAGCAGTGTTTCTCAACCTTGGGAACTTTAAGTAGTGTGAACTTCAACTTCCAGAATTCCCCAGCCAGTGTGGCTGGATAGGGAATTCTGGGAGTTGAAGTCCACAAAGCTTAAAGTGCCCAAGGTTGAGAAACACTGTTTTAGAAGGTCATTGAGGCCACCTGGAGGTTTATCTGTGTCCTCAGGGTCTTGTCCACATTTTGGACAGAGTAGACCGCTGGTTTGAAAGAGGGGTCAAAGAGGCCATCTAGGTCAAAATTGAACAGCCCTCTCTCAACAGAGGGGGAGGGACACGACATCATCTAACTCCAGTCTACCACACCGTCCTTTCAGCAGTTCCAAGAAGGCTCCACACCCATTTGCACCACTCAGGTGATCCTAAGGACACAGACAAACCTCCAGGTGGCCTCAATGACTCTCTACAAGAAGGCAAATGTTTGTCCACATTTTGGACAAAGAGGAGTCAAAGAGGCCATCTAGGTCAAAATTGAACAGCCCTCTCTCAACAGAGGGGGAGGGATACAACATCATCTATCTCCAGTCTACAACACTGTCCTTTCAGCAGTTCCAAGAAGGCTCCACACTCATTTGCACCACTCAGGTGACCCTAAGGACACAGGTAAACCTCCAGGGACTTCAACGACTCTCGAAAAGAACGCAAATGACCAGCTGCCTGCAAGGAATATAAATCCTTCCATTCCCCACCATCCAGTCAGAGCTGAAGAAGCTTCTTGGATGAGAAGCGAGACGTCTTCAAAGAAAAACCAGAAAGTCCAGTTGCCTCTTGAAAAAGCACCTTTGGGACAACCGTGACCTGGATGACGGAGAATCTCCATAAACAGCTGCTTGATTGTGTAGGTCAAAGGAAATGGCCTCGGTGGGGCCATTCCCAGCATTGCCTCCATTGAATCCTCAGCTCCATAGAGTTGGCCAGGTCAAGGGCAAGAGCAGAAGGACAGTATGAGTCCCCCTTGCAGATGGCTGCATTGTGCAGCTACCTGCAGACAAGCTTTTGACCTACTTGCTGTGTTCAACAGTGGCCTTGGAGACATCTCCAAGGGGGTTCCAGCCCTGGCACTGTCCTTCTTTGTCCACTTATTTTTCCTCCTAACCAGATAACGGCTTCCAACTTCCAAGTACTCTCCCTTGTGTCTGGAGCTTTTGCTTAGTTATTTTTGTTCTACAAGAGACAAAATGGAGGTGTCCCATTTATATGAACTCTCTTCCTGGATGGGGAGTCCCTGTTCCTTTTTTTAAAATTTTACGGGTTCTTAATTTTCTGTGACACATTTTTTTTTTGGTCCCTTGGGGAGAACGTTGGCTTGACCGGCTGGATCTGAAAAGGTCCCTTTGCTTCTCTGTCTGGAACGAGGTCCATCCAAGCTTTGTTGTGTTGGACCAGCGGGTTTAGGTCATCCTGTGCCCCCAAAGAATGCTTCCTAATTGGCTATCAGCTTACCGGTCTCATTAGAGTATTTAAGCCAGAGGAGAACTTGAGGGGCAGGTCAGGGGTCGCCCATCAAAGCAGCCGGCCTTGAGGTCACATGTTTCTATATTTACCAGGCATTAATTCCTCGACAATGTCACAAAGAAGTTTAAAGTTGAAGCTTCCTGCACAGCTGGCTTTCCTGCACGGTGGATTGCTGAAGCCTTTTCATTATTTCTAATCTTTGAGGACATTGTGTGGCGGCCATCTCTGTCCTCGGCTTGGCTGAATCGCCTATGTTCATTATATGATGTCCCACATATCAGTCCTGGCTCTCATAGACTTAACCTGGCTTTTAACCCACTGATGAATTACCTATAAGCAGAGTTACACGTTTCACGAGACATTGTGAAGCCACAACGAGCATCCTGAGTAGAGCCCTCCCCTTCAAAATCAAGGGTCTTCCTGGCGGCACAATTCTATTTACGGTATTCTCCCCTGCAGGACATCAGTGAAAACGGCTGTTCCACCATGCCAGAAGATTCCACTTCAAGGACAGCTCCATCTCCCCTGGCTGAAAAAAGGGACCCCAAACTCCAGGATGACAGGAGACCCATCACCGTTCACTTTGGCCAGGTAAGCTATGGAGGTGACTTGAATCTTCCTCTAGAGTAGCACGTCAGTTGGGTTGGTGGGTCCCCATTGCACCTTCCAGGACCTCATCATCTACATTCTGGAAGCACTCCCATTTTGTACCGCTAAGTTTTTGTTGATGTTAGTTGTGAAGTCATGTCCAACCCATCGCAACCCCATGGACAACGTTCCTCCAGGCCTTCCTATCCTCTTCCATCTTCTGGAGTCCATTGAAGCTCACGCTTGCTGCTTCAGTGACTCCATCCAGCCACCTCCTTCTCTGTCGTCCCCTTCTTCTCTTGCCCTCCATCTTTCCCAGCATCAGGCTCTTCTCCAGTGAGTCCTTCCTTCTCCTTAGGTGGCCAAAGTAAAGCAATAATAATAGCCCAATTTTAGTTGTTGATATTTTACGCGATTGGGCTAGGGAGGAACTCAGAAGAACAGGGCAAGGCCATTCTCCATCCATCCTTCCCTCCCAAAATTGAGTGGAAAATGATTCCCCCTCCCCCAATTTTGGTCCTACCTCTTCTGGGATTTCATTGGAAGGCCCTTCAGAATGATGGTCTGTGTTGCCTGTCCTGGTTCCCTATTTCTTTACCCGCAAGAGCCCAGTCTTAAAAGCAAGTCACCATGGGTCTAGGCCAGGGGTGTCAAACTGCCGTGTCATGAGGAAACCGCGCCCACCCCATTGCCGGCAATGGGGGAAAAGTGCCATTATGTCACACGACATCGTGAGTTTGACATGTCTGGTCTAGGCCAGGGGTCGGCAACCTTGGCTCTTTTATGACCCGTGGACTTCAACTCCCAGAATTCCTGAGCCAGCCACGCTGAGGGGAAAGGGAGAGGTTTCCAAGCTGAGCCATGCTGGCTCAGGAATTCTGGGAGTTGAAGTCCACGAGTCATGAAGCGGCCTAAGCCTAGCCAGAGGTAGGCAACCTCGGCTCTTTTATGACTCGTGGACTTCAACTCCCAGAATTCCTCAGCCAGCATGGGAGAACTATGGCCCCCTCATGACTCGTGGACTTCAGCTCCCAGAATTCCTGAGCCAGCATGGCTCAGCTTGGAAACCGCTCCCTTTCCCCTCAGCGCGGCTGGCTCAGGAATTCTGGGAGTTGAAGTCCACCAGTCATAACAGAGCCAAGGTTGCCTACCCCTTGGTCTAGGCCATGATGTTCCTCAACCTTGGTGACTTTCAGACATGTGGACTCCCAGAATTTCCCAGCTAGTGTGAGTTGAGGTCCACGCGTCTTAAAGTCACCAAGGTTGACAGACACTAGTCTAGGGTCCCATCCCACCCGTAGTTCTCTGGATGCCAAGGGAAGAACTGATGAAAGATCAAACTTTCATAATCAGAACCGTCACAAACTACCAGAAAGACACTGAAAGCTTCAGCAGTGGATAGCGCCTGCTAATGCCCCTAAGTGGCACAGGGTGCCATCAGGAATTTCAGCAGGTGCCAGTCTGAAGTTTGGGAGTATATCTAGTCCACAACCTATTTCCAAGACTTTTCTTGCATCTCCGAGTGCCCATCCTCCCCTCCTGTCAAATAAAACATCCCCCCCACCTTTTATCCTGGGTTCTCTCTTACTTCTGCCTCGGTTTCAGATGTCTTTCGTTCAGTCCCGGTGTCATCCGCCGGTCTCTTAGGATAATAAGCACCGCAGCACCCTTTGAACAGAAAAAGGAACGACCGGGGGTTTGGAAAATCAATTAATGGCTCCTTAATAGCATGCTTCATATATTTCGATATTGACTCTCCTGTTCTCCGAGCTGGTTGTTTTTACGATGCTCTCCGCTGTACATTTCTGAAAAGCCAGCCAGGATGAAGTGACTTATAATTGCAAAAATGAATTTAACTTCGCAAGCTTGTTTGGTGGGCCCGAGGGGGAGAGGGGTATGCCCTTGATAACGTGGATTGTAGTCTTCGTTGGGTGACTCTTGAATCGGTGGAGGGGCCACGTTGAAAGGCTGGAGGTAATTAAAGAATTACTTTCTTAGAGAGGAAATACAAGTGATGCAAGATCCAGGGTGATATTGGCAGACAGGCGTGGTAATGTTTTAAAAATATTGCATTTTGAAAGAGCAATCCTATGCATTAGCCCCTTAAGGAACTGCCTTTGTTCATGTGAATGCACATACAGGTTATATATACGAAGAACGGTTGCAGGAACTGGGTGTGTCTAGTTCAGTGAAGAGAAGGACCAGGGGGGAGATGATAGCAGTCTTCCAATATCTGAGGGGCTGCCCCAAAGAAGAGGCAGTCAAGCTATTCTCCAAAGCCCCTGAATGCAGCCCAAGAAGCAATGGATGGAAATTAATTAAGGAGAGAAGCAACCTAGAACTAAGGAGAAACTTCCTGGCAGTTAGAACAATTACTCAGTGGAACAACCTGCCTCCAGAAGTTGAGGGTTCTCCAACACTGAAGGTTTAGAAGAAGAGATTGGACAGCCATTTGTCTGAAATGGCATAGGGTCTCCTGCTTGAGCCGGGGGCTGGACTAGAAGACCTCCAAGGTCCCTTCCAGCTTGATTCTATTTTAAGAGGCAATGAGAGCGCAACTTTTGAAAAAGAACCCTGATTGCAGACTTCCAAAAAGGGACTTCTGACGTCCATTGTGGACATAGGATGCTGGTCTACCTGTGATTCGAATATCTTGAGCAGGAGGTTGGACTAGAAGACCTCCAAGGTCCCTTCCAGCTCTGTTATTCTGTTATTCTGATGATGATTTCATTGAAACCTATCCCAGGCAATCTTTTGCTGAAATACACTCGTCTCTCTCCATCCCCTCCTCCCAGCGAGACCATCAGTTCTTCATCCCATGTGGCTTTTGGCCAAGACCGAGGCCTGGCCATGCTCTTCAAGAAGTGAATGCGTTTATTCAGTTTCTGTAGCCACCCGCTCGACCAAGTAGTATTGCCAACCCTGAATTTAGTCTTTATTGGGTGATGCTGTGTACGCGGTAAAGACCCATCCACTCAACTTCCTGGTCACGTGTAGCAAAAGTTCCTTTGGAAGCTTCTGTGAGTGAGGTGGCATTACAGACTGGCCCAGGGAGGGCATACCTAGCTTTAATTAAAAAAAAAGAGCATCAAAGAGAGATCTGGGACTCCTCTTTTCACCCCTTCTTATGGCAAATGAAAAGAACATAACATTAATCTCCTGGGCACTTCAAGAGTGCTAAACGTGAGCAGGGGGCTGGACTAGAAGACCTCCAAAGTCCCTTCCAGCTCTATTCTATTCCATTCCATTCCATTCCATTCTACTCTACTCTACTCTACTCTACTCTACTCTACTCTACTCTACTCTACTCTACTCTACTCTACTCTATTCTATTCTATTCTATTCTATTCTATTCCTCCAATATTCATTCTATTCTATTCTACTCTACTCTACTCTACTCTACTCTACTCTACTCTACTCTACTCTACTCTACTCTACTCTACTCTACTCTACTCTATTCTATTCCTCCAATATTCATTCTATTCTACTCTACTCTACTCTACTCTACTCTACTCTACTCTACTCTACTCTACTCTGTTCTGTTCTCCTATTCTATTCTATTCTATTCTATTCTATTCTATTCTATTCTATTCTATTCTATTCTATTCTATTCTATTCCATTCCATTCTATTCCACTCCACTCCACTCCATTCCATTCCTCCATATTCTACTCTACTCTACTCTACTCTACTCTACTCTACTCTACTCTATTCTATTCTATTCTATTCTATTCAAATGGCAAGGAAACTTGAAGCCTATTTCTCCCTCCCCCCGTCCCAAATAATGGACAAAACCAACGGCCAGTCAATACCCCCAGTTTCAACACTGCAGTGGCGTCTGCAAGCTTGCAGCCCACCAGCCCCAGCAGAGCCGGCCTTAATTGAGTTGTGCTGTCAGAGTGACAAACACATTTGCATACAGTCTATTTATTTTGTTCGCCGAAGTCCACTGGCTGCTGTTGGGGGAACATCCTTAATCAGCCTGCTGTAAGTCAGCCGGCACCTCGCTCGGCTGTCTCTGTCCAGGCGCTTTTCTTCATTAAGTGACAGATTAACTGAAGGGGACGAGGGGGGGGGGTTGCCGAGCCTAACTGCAACATTTAATTTTAACTCATTAGGGCTCACCCAACTGGAGTTGACAGTTGGTCATGGGTGTCTTGTTCTCCACCAGTTGCAGTCATTAATCTGCTCACAAAAAGGACGCATGGAACTCAACCGCCTGCTGGCTGAAGCGACAACAGCATAAACACCTTTCGGCTGTGCTCAAATGACTTTCTTCTTCTTCTTCTTCTTCTTCTTCTTCTTCTTCTTCTTCTTCTTCTTCTTCTTCTTCTTCTTCTTCTTCTTCTTCTTCTTCTTCTTCTTCTTCTTCTTCTTCTTCTTCTTCTTCTTCTTCTTCTTCTTCTTCTTCTTCTTCTTCTTCTTCTNACTAAGGAGAAACTTCCTGACAGTTAGAACAATTAACCAGTGGAACAACCTGCCTCCAGAAGTGGTGAATGCTCCAACACTGGAAGTTTTTAAGAAGAGACTGGACAGCCATTTGTCTGAAATGGTGTAGGGTTCCTGCCTGAGCAGGGGGTTGGACTCGATGACCTCCAAGGTCCCTTCCAACTTTATTATTATTATTTGTCTGAAATGATATAGGGTTTCCTGCCTGAGCAGGGGGTTGAACTAGTTCCCCCATGCTGGCTGAGGAATTCTGGGATTTGAAGTCCACAAGTCATAAAAGAGCCAAGGTTGCCTACCCCTGTTCTAATCTCTTCTCCCCCTGGTCCCTTTTAAGTTTCCATCCATCATGTTGACTAGGCTTGGCCAGGCAGCTCACAATAATTCCCGCGATTGCCGAGTTCGCCTAAAAGTGTGACACCCTTCTGGAAACACACCCACGTATTTCTAGAAGGGTTGCTGGCTGCCCCCAATGCCGGAAACACATTTTATATGCACACACAGCCTTCAGGAGAGACCGTTCTTCCCTCTAGGCCAGGCGTAGGCAACCTTGGCTCT